ATATTTCAGTATTGCATTAGCAGGTTACCCGTAAAGGAGCAACTAGCTGTATGGGTTAAACCGATCATGTGACAAAGATTGTAAAATAAAATAAATACATAAATAAATAAAATTGGGACACTATCTCAATACTGACACTTTAATTTCAATTTATTATTCGTTAATATATAGTTTTATTATTTACGGTATTGAGATATGGGGTCAAACTTACGTGTCCTACTTAAAACCCATTTCTACTCTGCTCAAGAAAACAGTACGAATAGTAACGTTTTCAGATTACCGATGCCACAGTGAGCCAATATTTAAATTGCTGAATTTACTAAAATTTAGTGACTTGATTAGTCTGTCTCTTTTAAAATTTGTTTTTCGCTGGAAAAACAAATTATTACCAGCTTGTTTTTGAAATTATAATGATTTTTTGAGTGATACACATTCACACCAAACTAGACAATCATCAAATGATAATATTTTCCTAACGCATAAAAGATCTGATCAATTTGGTAAAAGGTCAATTAAATATTCTGGTGCATTACTATGCAATTTGGTTGCGTATGAGATAAAATCAAGTGCATCACTTTCTATATTCAGTAAAAAGATTAAGCAATACATGATCCGATGGGTATAGCTGTTAATCTATTTTGTAATTTTTCTGCTTACTAATATTCGTTTGTTTTTTCTCAGTGTTGTTTTATATTATGTATGTTGATTCTAATTTATATTTCTTTATATCTCTTAGATAACTAAACCTGTAAATACAGGGTATTCTCCAGATTAGTTTTCACTATTAGGATACCCTGTACTCATCTTATTAATTATTGTCATGAATATTATTATTAGATCTAGTTACATCTATTTTCTATTTTTGTTATTGTTGTATTTATGAAGATGAGTGAATAAAAATATATCTATTTATAGAAAGCCAAAATTATAGGCAAAAAGCCAAATTATGCAATGCAATGACCATGTGTAACACAATAATTCAAATATTACTATGCTCTATATATATAGTAACATTTTAGTCATGTTTTCGCTCGCTATACTATAATCTATATCGTGTTTGCTAAACTCCATGCAGAAACTATTTAATTATACCTGTACAAGCTTAATATAACAATAAGTATCAGTATTTATATTTAGCCGTGATTAAATGCTCCGTCGACCCACAGGGGGCAGAAAAGTACGATTGTGTTTATTTAAAATACCTTGTCATCAACCAATATATCGCATAGTTTCATCCAGGTTTCATCACGATGAAAATTATGTTGATTTTCGATAATATCATGTCTACTACTTCATGTAATTCAAACATTGTATTACAAGGACTGACCATAGTAGCGTGGGCTCATACTAGAACGATTGACTTTGCTTACACGTACAAATAATAGAAAGGGATGAAACCCCCGATCGCGAAATATTTCGAATGGATATAACTGGCGTGTTTCTGAACCAAAACCTTTTATTTTTTGTATACAGTTTAGATATGATACACTTAGCATACCTGTACAAGGAAATTTTTAGAAACGGTTATTATACCGAAATTTTTGGGACTACAATTTTGGCTTATTTTGTTTCAACGTGCACCGCAACAGGTGGTGACGGAAGTGACGTAGTTACGCACTTAAAAGATATTGCGCATGACGCAAACTATTTTTCCAACTGATTTATATTAATAATCATATATATTAAAACATAACAAGCTCATACAGTATTCTTATGTTAGTATACAGTTTCAAAATAACGCTCATATAAATATGCTCATATAAATTGTCACTCATTGAATTGTCACTGAATTGAATTCTCCTTGAATTGAATTGTCACTTATTGAAAGAATTGTCACTTATTTGATAATTCATACAAAGCCTACGAAATACAAGCCAAAATGCACCGGTATTTATACTACAAAAAGGTCTATATTAACCGAATAACGAAACCGTTTCAGAGTTTATTTAAATTTACTGCCATTTTTTTCGCCCCATAAGTGCATGTATAGTTTGTTTCTGAATTTAAATAGTCTATTGATATATCTTAAGTCTGCACACACGGCGAAGGCGAGTTTAAATCGTGACCGGTTTTGTAAAGACTGCCGTTTGGATTTATACAGTCATATTAAACAAAGTTCAAAGTCGTGGATATATTCACGTACAGTTGATCGATTCAAGAACAATTGTTTTAAATTATTGAAAAGCTTTATACCATCTAGATACAAGAGCGTGTGTTGCTTTTGAATCGAGTTATTCGCATTTCTTTTAGTTGACAAAACGTTCCATATTAATATTCGACTAATTTGAGTTTGAATTTCGCAATATTTTTTAAAATTTGTTATTGTCATTCAAATTATTAACCGTTAATTCGATTGAAAGGTCATGGAAGATGATAGGTCAATTTTCCTTCAACTTCCGTTCTACTTCCGGTTACAATGTCGAATTTACTTCCGTCACCAGTTGTTGCGGTGCACATTGAACGAAAGATTTTCGGCGTTTCATCCCTTTCTTATTTATGTACGGGTTACACCCTCGGCATCCTTTCGTAAGATGTTCGGAAATAGTCGTTGCAATGCAATATGTTTGAATTACATGAAGTAGAATGCATGATATTATCGAAAAAATAAAAATCAGCTAATTTTGATCCTTTTATGACTATGTCTGCGGATTGTTGTGATATAAATATGGGATATTCGTTGATGACAAGGTATTTATAAAACACAATCGTACTTTTCTGCCCCCTGTGTCGACCTTTTCTTGGTTTGATTAAGAACTGGGGAAAGCATTGCTTTTCGCCAGGAATTTTCCCGAGTTTTTACTGGTCAATTTGACAAGGTTTTAATTGACTCGTCTTTTCCTCCCCTTGAAACATTGCACTACCCTTGGGATCTCTGAGTTAAATTTCTACCCAAATTTCTGGCAACGATGTGCTTTCAAATACAAAGAAAATTTGGTGATTTTGCGGTGCTTGTTAACTCAGAATTCGAAATCGCATGCACGCAGCATCACCTGAGCAAATATTGTTGTACACGTTCAAATCGTTTCTGTTAAAAGGTCAATGTCGCACTTAAGTTTAGCAATTGTTGTTCAAACACAATCTTCCAAGTGTGCACAACAACTAAGCAAGAAAGGTTTAGAAACACAAGTAAAACCCACACAAAATATTTACAATTATTAACGCGCTTTCGTGAGGCATTCCCTTTCAAAAAGTTCATGGTGAGAGTTTGTCGAACTATACAGTATGTTCTGGGATACTATGGAAAGAGTATATATTACACTTAGCATTGTATAATATTAAACTTACCATAGACCTTATTCATAAATCGTGATGAGGCCTCGTATCCTAGGAAACGGGAACAAAACGCGGGAAAATTGACAAAATGTTTTTTTTGCTGTCGGCTATGGCAGCTTTTTTTCGTGAATATTACGGCTTTTTTCGAAAATATATCTATAAAACTGAGCTTGAAAGTTGAAAAAAATACTTCTGAGAAAATATAACATGACATTTAAAGCAAAAGATGCTGGAGTCAATCGAAAAAGGAAACCTTTGACTTTGTATTGTTGTCGTAGTTTGTATGGCCGAAACAAACAACCAACAGGGCTACAAAACGTCTGTACAACACCAAAATCGTAAGAAATATGAAACAATTGTTGAAGAAATAAGATTACAACTCACTCAGGTAATGTAGCCTTCATTTTTTAAACTTGTAAGCTGCTTGCAGAATGTTATCGAGCCACAGTCATAGTTCATATTTTTCCGTACGAATCAATAACATTTGACGTTCTCTTGTAATTTTTGACTGTTATTTTCTTTCATATTTATGTCAAATTCGAAAAATTATACTTCCATTCCATAGTTGTCTTGATTTTTCACGGAATATCTCACATGCGTCTATACTACTCTTGCTTGCCGGAGATATCGCAACGAATCCTGGACCTTACAAACACACGAATCGTGAAAACCAGTTCGTAAAATGTCTCGCACTCAATGCTCGAAGTCTGATGAGTTTACATAAAACCAACATCGGAAACAATTTGACAGATACTAACATTGAACGCTTCCAGAACTTGGTCTATTCTGAAGATCCCGATATCGTTTGTGTCAACGAAACGTGGCTTAATGAGGATATTAAAAACTCTGAAATTCTGCATTCGGGATATGACATATTCAGGAACGATCGCGGATCTCGTGGTGGTGGAGTACTGTTAGCGATAAAGATTTCTTCATTTAAATCAGTGCGGGAAATTCAACATGGTCATGATTTGGAGATCTCCATGGCTGAAATAACAACCACTTCAAACGCAAGTTTATTAATTTGTTCTTGTTATCGTCCACCAAACTCAGATCATAGCTGGTTGGACAAGTTCAATAACTTTATGAGTGATGTTTGTTCACAACACTCAAACATTGTGCTTGCAGGAGATTTCAATATGCCACGTATATCATGGGACTCGCCAGAGAAAACATCAGGTAGTAACGAAAATACCTTCGTAGAACTGCTCCATGACCATTTCTTGGAACAACTAAACACCGCGCCTACTAGAGGTAATAACACGTTAGATCTCGTTCTAACCAATATTCCCAACAAAGTCAAAATATGTGAAATTTTGTCTCCCACTCAAGCAGAACTTTTCACCGACCACAACATTATTGTGTTTGAACTTTCAATGTGTCATAATCAACTACCAAAGATACGCAGAACTGTCTATAATTATCGTCAAGGTGATTTTACTGGCTTACGAACTTCCCTTGAATGTCTAAATCTGGATTCCCTGATTACAACCGACGACAATATCAACCACGACTGGCAACAATGGAAGAAGGCGTTCCTAGAAGCAGTATCCCAACACATACCATCAGTGAGAGTAAAGGGTCGCAACTATGTACCGTGGATGAATTCTACAATTCTACACAACATCAAGAAGAAAAACTCTCTCCGCCTCAGAATTAAGAAATCCCCTACACCTACTGAATATCTCCTGGAAAAATTCAAAACCCTTCGTAGTTCCATCAAGAGTATGTTACGTAACAGTCGCTCCAAATATTTCGACTCTATTTGTTCCAGCCGTGGACTTAATCCCAAACGCTTCTGGTCCCTGTTCAAGTTCAATAATAAGACACGGAACATTCCTCAAAAGCTCTCGGTGAAAGTAACTGAAACCAAAAGAACATCCGCAGGAAATCCAGCAGATATTGCTGCGCTGTTCAACAACTACTTCACATCTATATTTACCACCGATCCAAATATCGAAAACTACAGCTCTGACGCTCTTCCATATCAGTCTAACAATACTATCATCGAGGACATTACCCTTTCGGAAGCCGATGTTTTCTCCGTATTGCATAACCTCGACATTAACAAAGCCCAAGGTCCAGATGGGATTCCTGCACGATTATTAAAAGAAACAGCTCGCCAAATTGCTCCATCACTAACCGCCTTGTTTAATAAATCTCTGAACACTGGTGTGTTACCACGCGACTGGAAACTAGCAAATGTTGTTCCCGTCCACAAAAAAGACAACAAAGAGCACGTAGAAAACTATCGACCAATTTCGCTTCTTTCGCTTATCTCGAAAGCATTGGAAAGATGCGTGTTCAATAAGATCAAAGACCACGTTTTCGAACAGATTAACAATGGTCAACATGGCTTTGTTCCTCGGAAGTCCTGTGTTACACAGCTCATTGAAGTCTTTGAGTATATTGGTCGTGAGCTGGATCTTGGGAAACAAGTTGATGTGATCTACTTGGATATGTCCAAGGCGTTTGATCGAGTAAGTCACATGCAACTGTTGAAACGACTTCGTGATTTTGGATTCGGTGGCAATATTCTTAACTGGTTTAGATCTTACCTCAAGGACCGTCGGCAGCAGACTACAGTACTTGGTGCAACATCATCAGCACTACCAGTAACCTCCGGAGTTCCACAAGGCTCAATCCTTGGACCGCTACTGTTCCTATTATATCAGAATAATCTCCCCAACTCCATCAACCACTCGAAGATCGCGACGTTTGCTGACGACACAAAGATTTACAAGGTGATAAACGCGAAGGCTGATGCATCCGCTATGGAGAATGATCTTGCGAATTTCCAAACCTCCTCTGCCAATGCTAATCTTCTCCTCAACACAGATAAATGTAAGACACTTCGAATTACTAGAAAACGCAACAAAATCGACCATACTTACAAGTTGCAAGATTCCGCTCTGAAAACCACAGATTGCGAACGTGACCTTGGCGTCTGGACCTCCTCCACTCTCATATGGTCGAAACAAGTCCTCCACCAGTGCGCCCAAGCCAACAAATCCCTCGGGTATATTCGACGGTCCACGATCAAAATCAAGACCATCTCTGTTCGTCGGACTCTATATCTTACCCTCGTTCGTTCCCACCTCGCATACGCGTCCCAAGTTTGGGCTCCACAAACTGTTGACCTCATTAAGCGTACAGAACGCGTTCAACGACGTGCGTCGAAGTACATATTGAACCTACCGTTCTTCTGTGACATCAACTATAACCATCGTCTCTCAACATTAAATCTACTACCTCTGTGTTACTGGCACGAGTACCTAGACATATTGTTCCTTTTCAAATCACACCATGACATTATTAACCTAAGCAGCGACATACTACCTCACCCTCAAAATTCAAGTCAACGTACCCGATCTACAAACCCTAACTGCCTACAATTTCAGACTTCAGCATGCAAAACATCTACCTATCAAAAATCATATCTAATAAGGACTACTAGAGTCTGGAACACACTGCCAATGGATTTAACTATTAATAGCATGGCAACTTTAAAGGACTTTAAAAATAAGTTATTAATCTATTATAAAACAGCACTAGATAAATGTTATGACGTTGACGATCCACGAACATGGAAATCGGTTTGCTTAAAATGCAACCAAGCTCGCGACCTGACAAGGCCGATAACGTGTTGTTTTTAGATTTAGTTTTCAGAAGTACCTTTTCACATTGGTATCTATGGGGCCTATTCAGGTTTTGCTGAAGGTTTAGGATTGTGAGGGTTTCAAACGTCTTCTGACTCAGTCAGCTTCCAAAAATGGAAGTGGTTCTGCGGGTCGCAATGTGAAAAGTTGCATCTGATAGTTCGTTAGTAATTGATTCTTTCTATGTACGTATATAGTGTATTTGTCTAACATTTAGGGATCGCAGTAATTGGCGCAAGCTGTTGCGATTGCCCTGCCAGTTTTTTGTGTTAACGTTGTTTAAATCTGGCAAAGTTAATAAATTGAATAAACCTTTATATTGACGTTAAAATCTCAGTAAAATACTGTTTTTCGCTTCTGGGTAAACACCATCGCTACGTTGTCATTTTTTCCAAACAAAAACGGGAGAAAAACCGGTCGCTTTTATAATATACTCGTTTACCGCTTTCGTTCTGGGCACAAAGTCTTAAAATACACACAAAAATCGTCATAAATCGCAAAAAGCAACAAGAAACAAGCCGTTAAAGTCGACACAAAAGCATCTGAATTTGGCTTGTCAAGCAGTTTTCGCTTGTTTTCCCGCGTTTTGTTCCCGTATCCTAGGATACGAGGCCTCGTCACGATTTATGAATAAGGTCTATGTTTGAGATTAGTTATGGGGTCTGAAGTGAATAAAGTTGGAAGAATTCTTAATCTGAAATAAATTTTTATTTTCGCTCAATTCTCAATGTTTCCCTTACTTCATTTCGGGAAACATTGGAACTGGTACAGGAAAGTAAAACTAGTACATGTACAAGAACAAAAACTAACCTCAGGAGCAGACCTTAAGCGTATATGCATATTAATAGTTTAGACGTTAACCGGTATTGTTCAGGCAAATGTTTCGAGTTATTATCAGCATGAATCCTATATTACTCACTTTCTTAGTCAGTAAAATTACTACCTCAATATATGGGTAAAGTACAATAAATTGGATGATCTTTTTTCCAAGCTGGTGTTATGCAATCCAACTATAATTCAATATTTTCTTACGTGTATATATGCAATTTATGCAACGCAATAAATTGTGGTTAATGAAGTAATATGTCAAAGAAGACTCTATTTGCCTTATGGAAATGCCAATCTGTCATCAAAACTACTGCACTTGGAAAACAAGGCATTACTTTCTAATCATGCTGCCAAAAGAGATTGAACCTTGGCAACAGCACGTGAACACGTCATGCACTTGGGTTTCATCAATCAACTCTTCTTAAATATATCCGTCGCAACAATACAATGGCCCCATTCTTAGTGAAAGACATTTAGTTACAGGCTATATGCTTCACGCCTCATTCGCAATATTCTAACCAGAGCGTAAGCTACCAAAACCTGGTATACAAAAAAAAAAAAAAGACAAAGTAAAGAGAACCGTTTTGCTGTTCGATTCCACCAATCTTCGAACAAATGGCAAAAGTAATGCGCAAGATCAGAAGAACAAGGACGGTACAGACTCACAGTTATCCTGAGATGCACAAGATCCCATGCCGGCCATGCATGCGGTGTTCCAGAACCAGAATATTGTCGCAGCTTGTAATCCACGTTCTGGGACCTCAAACGGAGTGAGTTCGTTCCATATTGTTTATTTACTTCCCTAATATAACGTTCTTGAATTTACTGCTGTTAGGCTACATTAGTACTATGTAACGCATTGTAACCATATGTTACTCGATCTGGTCCTGTGTCATGCATGAGTCGCATTTTGTATTGTACAGTATTCGTAGGCTATGCATTCGCGCTTACGCCAGGTTACGTGCTATCTTATATTATCTCTAGTTGCATGCTCTTGCTACGTCAAATAATACCATACAAACAACACGTAATTTAACTGCATATGTTGATCAATAGATGTGGTTGGATACATTATACAACTCTCCATTCATTCGCCTTGCTTGTCTTCGAACTCGTGTCGCACCACTATCGCTCAGGCGGGAACTATTTTGGCGCATTGACTCGAACAAAACAGTTTCACTCAGTAGCATGACGGGTTTTCCTTGTATGTCATAACAGCTGTATTACAGCCTTCTTGTACTGCTACTTTCTACTCGTACTAATTGTATACACTCTCTGGTATATAAAATAGCCTCGGTCCCATGAGGCTATTTCCTGTGCATAAGTCTTAACACATTTCTAGCTGCTATTGATAGCCTACTTTGTATCAATTTATGCCAGTCGTACGAACATTGTATTATCCTTGTTATATAAAAGGACGGTTTATCCTAGTTATAAGGACGGTTTAACCTAGTTATAAGGATGGTTTATCCTAGTTGTAAGGACGTACGGTTTGTCCTAGTTAAATGAGATGTTCATGACATACTTAAATTGACCTCGAAGAAATTGTGATGATGACGTCAACGTCACATACCGTATATAGACAACAATGCTTTGCGAGGACAGAACGTAGACCGCATGGCGAACAGAGCATGGCGAGCTTGATATTATTGTATTTGAAAAACAACTTATAGTTAATAAAGCTTGGATATTACATTTGGCGACAAGGATTTTAAATATTGTTTACTATGGCTGCAAGAGTAGACCTTCCATCGATGCCACAGTTTGATCCTCATGTAGATTACAGCAGTTTAGCGACACGATGGGAACAGTGGCTTAAACGCTTTCACCTTTATCTTCGAGCGGGAAAAATCACCGATAAAACACAACAACGAGCCCTTCTTCTATACATGGCTGGGCCCCAAGTACAAACAATATTTGAAACGCTAGCTAATACTGGAGATGACGATGACTTCAAAACAGCGGTTGAAAAACTGACAGAATATTTCATGACGAAGAAAAACCTCGAGTATGAGATTTATATATTTCGCCAAGCCCGACAAACGACTGACGAAACATTGGATCAGTACCACACGCGCCTTCGAAAGCTTGCTACAACATGCGAGTTCACCGATGCTGATCGAGAAATTAAAACACAAATATACAAAGCTGCGTTTCTACGCGTCTTCGGAGAAAAGCGCTTCGTGATTCAACGCTTACTCTGAGTGCCTTACTCGCTGAAGGTCGTTCCTTGGAAGTAAGTGAAAAACAAGCTAAAGGCATCGACAAATCCCTCGCAGCCATCAAGATCGACGAAAAACTCCCTACTGAAATCGACGATAGTGTGAATGTCATTCAACATCAACAACGCCAACAACCGCCGTACGCTCGTCGGGAAACAGTGAAACGCAAGTGTTATTATTGCGGGTTAGATTATCCCCACAAGAACAATAGCTGCCCAGCGTATGGCAAAGAATGCTCGTTTTGTCATAAGATGAATCATTTTGCAAAGGTTTGCAAAAGTAGTCAAAATCAAGATCGAAATAAATTTCCTCGACAGCCTCGCTCATCACGCCAATTCAACAACTCGTCAATTAACACTGTTAATAGACAGCACACTGACGATGAAAGCAACTCATCCTCGGAAGATGAATACATCTACACGGTGAACACAAGCTCAGTAGTTGCGTCCAAAGACAATTTGACTGCCAAATTAAAGATCAATCGGACGAATTTTCGAGCACTCATCGACACCGGGGCGTCTATCAACATTATAGACGAGTCGACATTTCAACACTTATGTAAACAAAAACCTATTAAAATACATCGTTCAAAAGCACGAATATATGCGTATGCTGCACAATCGCCGCTTCCTATGCTGGGAGTATTCGAAGAAATCATCGAATCGAAGACAAAGATGACAACCGCCAAATTTCACGTCGCAAAAGGGGACAATGGCAACTTACTTTGCTCAGAAACTGCAGCAGAACTCGGATTAATAACATTGAACATACACAATGTAAACAAAGACAAACCGGAAGTAAATGCAACTACAAAAGTAAACACAACTGTGAAAGTGCCAAACGAATTCACACCTGAGGCAGAAGCCACTGAATTCATTCAAAGTCTGACAAATGAGTACGAGGACTTATTCAGAGGAATTGGGTGCCTGAAAAACTTCGAACTTAAGCTACACATAGACCCTAACGTCAAGCCAGTTGCGCAACCAGAAAGGCGTATACCGTTTCACATCCGGGAGAAAGTAACTAACGAACTGGACAAATTAACAGAGCAAGGTATCATCGAGCCCTGTTCTGGCCCAACTCCCTGGGTCTCGCCCCTAGTTGTAGTACCAAAACCGAAGAACCCAGAAGAAACAAGAATATGTGTTGACATGCGTATGCCCAATACAGCGATAATCCGTGAGCGCCATCCCATGCCTACTGCTGACGAACTTATCCACAAGCTAAATGGTGCAAAAGTCTTCTCAAAACTCGATCTTCGCCACGGATACCACCAAATTCTCTTAGCTCCTGAGTCTCGTTACATTACGACCTTTCGTACCCATAAAGGACTGCACCGCTATGTCCGACTTAACTATGGTACATCAGCAGCCTCAGAAGTTTTCCAGTATGCTATAAGCCAAGCCATTGCTGGCATTGACGGAGTTGTCAACATCAGTGACGATATACTCATATTCGGTAAAACACAGCTTGATCATGACACAGCCCTTAAAACTGTATTTGAACGATTGCGACAAGTCGGCCTCACCCTCAACAAATCGAAATGTGCTTATAACAAGGGTACATTGGAGTTTTTTGGCATGATTTTCTCTGCAGATGGCGTCAGCCCGGACCCAAAGAAAATCGAAGCTATCGTCAATGCTCCCCGTCCAACCAATGTGAGTGGAGTCCGCAGCATGCTGGGTATGACGAATTACTGTTCAAAGTTTATTGCAAACTATGCAAGCATTACAACGCCCCTTCGACAACTCACAAAGAAAAATGCGAAGTTCCAGTGGCTACCAGTTCATGAAAATGCCTGGAAAACACTAACAAAAGCTCTGACTTCAGCTCCAGTTATGGCATACTTTGATACTACCAAATGCACAGAACTCATAGTCGATGCCAGTCCAACTGGTTTGGGTGCTATATTACAGCAGCATACCCCAGGAAACAAAGACCACAAAGTGATTGCCTATGCAAGTCGAGCACTCAAGCCAGTCGAACAAAGATACAGTCAAACCGAACGTGAAGCCCTCGCCATTGTTTGGGCAATGGAAAGATTTCATATTTATACATATGGAACAGAATTTGTCCTGTATACAGATCACAAACCATTAGAGTTGATCTGCAATAACCCTAAGTCCAAACCTCCTGCACGGATCGAGCGATGGTTCCTACGTCTTCACAAATACCGTTTTCGAGTCCAATATAGCCCCGGGAAGGACAATCCCTCAGATTATATGTCTCGACACCCCCTGAACACAAGTGCATCACATCGCCAAGGCGAGTTAGCAGAAGAGTACATCACCTTCATTGCACAGCACTCTACTCCCAAGTCCATCAACCTGGAAGAAATTAAACAGCAAACGAAAGAAGATGCAACCCTGCAGATTGCTATGAAATATATTCAGAATGGAAATTGGCATGAGGCACGCAACTTGACAGATCCAAACATAAACAATCAGGAACTTAGTATTCTGTATAGCATCCGAACCGAGTTGACTGCTAGTAAAGATAATGACCTGCTTCTGAAATCCACCCGAATAGTTATACCAACATCCCTGAGAAAACGAGCCATCGATCTGGCCCATGAAGGCCATCAAGGCTTAACCAAAACTAAGCAGTTGCTTCGAGAGAAAATATGGTTCCCATCAATTGATTCCATGGTGAAAAAGATCATCGATGCTTGCATCCCCTGCCAAAGCACCACTCCAGCTCACCTTCCAGTACCACTCAAAATGTCAAAGATGCCACCAACACCATGGCATACAGTGCACATAGACTTTCTAGGTCCACTTCCGACCGGAGAGCTGATACTTGTTGCAATTGATGCATATTCCCGGAAGTCGAAGTCGTACATTCAACATCAGCAGCAGCACTCATCCCGAAGCTGGACAGAATATTCTCAACGCATGGAATTCCATACAAAGTTGTATCTGACAATGGTCCTCCATTCAACGGACAGGAAATCAGGCGATACATGGAGATCCATGGCATTGAGTTTGTAACAGTCACTCCTTTATGGCCACAGGGCAACTTGGAAGCGGAGTCATTCATGAAACCATTGCTTAAGTCCATTCTAACAGCTCGAACAGAGGGCCGAAATTGGAAAAAAGAATTATTCACCTTCCTCTTGAATTATCGAGCGACTCCCCACAGCACCACAAAAGTTGCCCCAGCCGAACTCCTGTTTAACAGAACAATTCGCACCAAGTTACCACAACAATACACTTCATCAAAACCAATCGACAAGCATATCATGGCAAAAGAGAATGATCACAACTCCAAAAGTAAAATGAAAAGGTATACTGATCAGGCGAGGCACACAAAGAAGACTCTGATTAACGTTGGTGATTTGGTTATATATAAACAACAAAAGAAGGACAAGTTTTCAACAAAATTCAATCCAGCCCCTTACAAAGTGATCAAAGTCCACGGTGCCACAATTACAGCCCAACGACACTCTCATCAAATTACCAGAAACATATCCTATTTCAAGCGTCTTAACCTGGGTGAAAAAGAGCGACAATACCATCTTGATGATCAACTGTCAGATGAAGAAGAGGATGATATAGTAAGAAACGAACAGGATCAAGAAAACGAAGAGGATGCAAGAAGGTACCCTGCAAGGGATAGACAACGAACAAACTTTTATCATGATCCGGACTCAGCAATTCTCAGTCATTAACTTATGAACTGGTAAATAGGGTCCAGGTACTATTAAAAAAATTTTGAGTTATAGTTTTGCATGTTATGAAGTTAGAAAGTATTAAATGCGAAGGTAGGGAGGAGTGTGATGATGACGTCAACGTCACATACCGTATATAGACAACAATGCTTTGCGAGGACAGAACGTAGACCGCATGGCGAACAGAGCATGGCGAGCTTGATATTATTGTATTTGAAAAACAACTTATAGTTAATAAAGCTTGGATATTACAGAAATTATCTCAACTAAAGAGGTTATACTGTAGCACGTTAAATGTTTTCTTTGTGCAGATGTATATTTTGTTACACTAACTGTACAAACAGTGGCTTGCACACGGCTTTATTTTATCTTTCGTTAATTTACCCAATTGTACACATTATGGCTAGCAGTATTTACTTAGGATAACTCGAAAAACTGCGTCACATCACGAGCTATTTAATAAGATTAATTAAAGTTATTTTCCATTAATTAATCTCTTGCCTGGGAAAATCCCGCACTTATTGCGTGTCATATAACGAATTTGCGCAATAGTTTACTTTACGCAATATACTACACGTTCCAGTACAATACACATATTGTACACATGGCGTCTACCTGTATGTCATATCCAGTTATCTTTTCACCTATAAATTAACCACCTAGATCCACAAAATTCTCACTGTAGAGCACCCGTTTTTCTCTTGCGTCTTTCATTTTGTTTTTAAGGAGAGCAACAAACTTGGATGTGTTCTGGTCAATCTGGTGATGTTCACAAGTGCTATCTATACCGACGTTTAACCCTGGATTGCTGCCTCACCGTTTTCAGCTTGCATATGAACTGTAAAACATTCTGCCCTATGAACTATCTATATGTATTGTAAATGTTCCTGCATAAATTGCGAGGACGAGGTTTTAGGTTTATACTGAGGTTTACCTAGTTTTATATATAACGCTCAGAAGCTCCGTATAATCCAGTTTAAACAATGGCGAATTCAAAATATAGCCTAACTTGGATACTTGCAGGAAAAATGGTTATAAACACTTTATACTGGCTCAAGAAAAAGCCTCTGTCTAAACTAACAACAGCTAGTTCAAAATGCAAGCCAATTTGAAAACCTGCAGAGGGTATAAACACTACTACAATCTACAAATATAACCCTTGCCCCGACTCTTTATATTTTGCAGTCTTAGGTATGGTGTTGTTTACCATGATGCTGATTCTTCTTAAACTTGTAAAAATAGAGCTATGTGGGGAGCTGCTGGTGGTCTTGGCCCTACCCAGGTTTCCTGTACTGCAGGTTTTTCCTGGCCTCCCTGATTATCCAGCCTTAGCATAAGTGTCAGCATCCAGTAAACGGCATTCTCTAGTACACCCCAGGCCTTTTTGACCTCGTCATCCTCGTCCGTAGACGGGTTATTTTATTTGTGCTCGTGGAGTGTTAAACGATGGACAGCTATCGATGAAATGGGGCACAAACCACCATTACATACGAGGGTCGTTTCCTGTTTCTTTTCTTTACTTTTCTATATTTTTCGCCCAAAACACTATTTAAACACAAGAGAGCCAGTAGCACTCGACAAGCAAGAGAGCCAGTAGCACTCGACAAGCCCAAACACACCCTGTAGTGTGCTAACAAACTAATGGGCTCAGAAACCCAAAATTGTTTTACACAGTTTACTTACTACTCCCCATTGTTTCCAGACCCTCCACCTCTTTTATCCAGTTGCTCCTCCATCATTTACTGCTCCTATGCGAACGCTCCTCTGCTCTGCATAT